TGTGTTTATCCTTGAGGTTCTAGAGTCCACGGATTCTTTTGATCCGACTACAATTAATTCCTCGACATCACAACTGCCCCAAGACTCCACCGACAACATTGTATAGTCTGTCTCTTCGTGATCCAAAGCACAGTTGGCGGCTACGAACGAGTCCCAGTCCCACAATTGTTGAACCTCGTGATCCATAGAAGGAATTTTGACGTGTAAGCCGCTGACTAGTCGTCGAACCGACGATTTTTTGGGCCTCATGGGCACTCGCTGTTTTTGCAAGTATTCAAACAGCGGATCGGCGAACCTCTCGTAAAACGGCACATATCTGTCATTATCGTCTTCGTCAAAACCATCTACCGACCATGGTTCGTCTACCCATTCTTCGTCACCTGCAATAATTGTATTAGAGTGTATGATTTTTTTTTTTTCATAAAATATTTATCTATAATTAATAGCACAATAAGTAAATATGTTAACAATAGGTTTACAATATAGTATTCTGGTCAAACGAAGCATTTTTGCATAAAATAAAAACTGTGAAAATAATCACTTGAATTCCGAAAGGCCATATTGTAGATCCTGTACCACGGCTCGTCAACCCATTCGTCCTCACCTATCATGTTTATGTAGTGTAGTATTCTGCGGTCAAAACAATGAAGTTTTACATTAAAAAAAACTGAAAATAATCACTTGAATCCGGATCTGCCATCTTGTGCAAGGTAATTGCGTCTTCACTCCACGTTATTACAGAATACAAGGCAAACAATGCAAAAGTGGTAATGCCTATGTACGTCCACCAGTTATGACCGCACATCAATCCACTTGGTCCACAATTACTCCACAAGTCGAACACAACAATTAATTTTCATACATCCGATTTAGCAATAATAATCTTTAAAACAATAACTAAAATTACAAACAGTACATATTTTGTTTAAAATAACTATAATTATTTACAAAACGATTTATATTAAAGGCCAACACATTCGTTTTTACTATAGTTTGTACTTGCAACACGGCTGTGATTACGTTTCCAGAACAATATAAACTATTTGTTTTGTATTTTTATATTTCATAATTTTCTAGTTAAAAATTTTCACAAATAAATACCAATGTTTAAAAAGTGTTATACATTAAACCGTACCTAGACCAATTAGAGAACATATTTCTGACCACCTTAAAGGATTTCGAAAAGGTGTAGCTGATACAACTTCTCGCACGATTTTGATCGGTTACCTAAACAAAACGCCTCAGAGACGTCGTACAATTCACCTAACAGATTACACTCTATCTAACAATAATAAATCAATAATAAGAATGTCTTAAAAATACCGCCAGCGTACAAGCATTGCAAAACGTGAGACTCGTAGTATAAACACTATAAACTACAAAGTATAAATGGTTTGTAGAATTTAGTAGTCCGTGAGGTCCAAGAGATTGATGACTGCTGATTTAATTCATTACCATTTTAAGGCAAGCCAAAATAAAAATAGGAACTAATTTTGAAGAGTTCTGTTATGATACACAGTAGCTAGTATTTCAGTACCTAGATACAGAAAATTGTATAGCAATTACATTTATAAAGAGGGAATCTTCATTTTTCTTTCCGAACAAGCTACACAGTAAGCTAATATTTTTTTATTTTGTATGTGAAAATTCTGCATTAACAGTTTTTAGCTTAACCTACATTCAATATATTACCATATTTTTAGTTTTAAATTATTCAGTTTACGCCTCAGTGCTAGTAAGCGTGGTACTACAATACAACCCGTTGAGAATATCAAGCCCTTATGTAATGGACTACTAACACATGTATCGTACTCTTCTATGATTAAGAACTTTGTATATTTTAAACTATTAGGCAGGCCGCACACAGAACGAAACTGGTGTCCTGAAACTTGTTTCATATTTGTCACATACTAATAAAACTTTGGTTTTAACAATGTCGTCCGACAAAGAGGAAATGCTAATGCTGTATTGGTAGAAATTACTGTAGGGGTACAGAAATTAATATTTAAAACCCTTAACCATAAAATAATACACTTTCTGCTTATACGTATTTTCGCAACAATGTTGTCATCTTCAGAGCTAACGACAGACAGACCGATTACCGTCAAGATAGTTACTTACAAAAAAGTTGTAGAATTTTTCTGTCAAGTTAAGCAGCCTTCTTTTGATGCATCTCTGTCTTGTTTGTAAAATTTCCAGCTCTGTGGGAGTAAATTCCTGTACATGTATCCTTAAAATTTAAACAATATTGTTGTGTATACTATATAATTTTAAAAGATAATGTCACTTGTGAACTTACGGTCGCCGAGCATTCTCTATAGTTTTTTTAAATGCCTAGGCATTATAATCGTATTATTCAAACGTTCTTTGTTTCGAAATTGACTTCTATTATTTTCATGTTCTTGTTCCTCCTAAGCAGCACTATAGAATGGCATCTTGAATTGAGCAAAATTTGTATTCAAGATTTGATAGATGAAATCGAATTGTAAAATGAATTACAATGCCCTCCCTGCCCTAGTACCCTTCCCTCCCTCACCTAAAACACCAGCGAAAACCAACCGGACCTGTCGGTAAGACCGCCTGGACACACAGTCCTAGCATTGTCGCTGAGTAAGCGGCGGCTTGGCAGGGGAGTATGACTTTGTCAACGGCCGTGTTGTTTCAATTTCATCACCCTCCGATAACCGGTGGACGAACATCGCCCCACCTGTGCGACCAGTGTCAAAGTCCACCACTCGGACGGATCGACCTTTTTTTTTTTAATTTGACGTGCGATCCCTTAAACGGGTCCCCAGACTTTAGGCCATTGATAATTTATATCTTAAAGAAAAACCTCATTATTGAAATTTTTCTCTACGGTAGCAATAATGTCATCAACATACTCAAATCGAGCCAGCGTTTCTGATTGAGTTTTGTGAAACTCGGACATGGTTTTATGAAAATCATTCAATGTGAGAAGATCGAGTTAGTTTAGGATAGTTTTGACTCATTGTAGCAACGTGTATAAAATAAGGCTTTGACACTAAGCTTCCTCTTGGAAGTTTTAGATGCAACCAAAATTACAGCGGTGTGCTGAGCGCGATAAGTGAGAGGTGGGTAACTTTGTAAGCACCCGTTTAAGTCACCAAGTAATTGTGCGCGAATCAGCAGAATCGGCCTTGATAAGGAGTATAAACGGAAAAATTGCTTACTTGACTCACAACAAAAAAGAGCCGCCGAACGGGTTCAGAGAAACTCCTACAGCATTGCAACGACGCATAACGTTAAAAAAAAAGTTAAAGAAGAAATTGAACACAACACATAGCATGTGTTAGAAGAAAATAGAAAAAATTAAGATGATACACGGAGCATATGAATGGTCCGTTTATCATTATCACATAAGTCGGGATAGATTTTTAAATTTATTGATAGGGATTTTTTTATCCAAATATTAATACTAGTAATCAAAATCTTAAATACAGAATTAGACCTTGAATTATTTGTTTTAATACCATGTATTAACTTAAAAAACTTAACGAGTCGATGGTGTTTATCATAATTTTCGTCAATATATTTAAAATAAACGGAATAAATATGGAAATTTGTTGCACATGCTTACGGAACCTAAAAAATTATTTAAAAATTGTCCGTCATTACAGAAGTACTATAGAGTACTATAGACTTTGGAGGAAATCATGCTGTTAATGTGGTCTTACATTAGTAAAAATAGAAGTTGTAATATATTGGCTTGTAAAGTGATTAGTTACTGAAAACAAACCTGTCTAAATGTGTCTTACTGGTTACTACGAAAATAGTATGTATTGTGCATAGACATTTTAATATTTATATCATAATTGCATTAATCATTCTCAGCTTGATTTAAATTCAACTTGTATTAAGTAGTTGTGTAAAGAAAATGGAATGTGAAAATGATGCCAACGGAGCAAACACTAGTTTGTTCAAGTTAGTAAAATTCTTGTTTTGCTAGAATAGCAGAATATAATAACACTGTTATATGGGCTGATGATGGTAACATTGCTGCTGAAATATGTATACGCTATAGTTATTATTTTTGTGATTAAGGGTTTATTTAAATACTTTATTATTTTATATCTTTGAAGAATATAATAACTTACTATTTATGTTTTCAGAATGACTAAAGAAGCCTTGAAAAAAAGTTGCAAGGACAATAAATTATACATGACGCCGTATCTTAACGATGTTATGTATCTTCACTTTAAAGGTGAGTAAAACCAAAATTAGCTTTCTATAAAGCAACCCATATACTACGATGAAATACGTCAGTTTTCAAAGTCACAATAAAATGATCGTAGTGTATAACATAAACTATTGGGTTTGTTAAAGGTTATTCGGTAATTGAAAATTTGGAAGAATACACAGGATTGAAGTCGTTGTGGTTGGAAAATAATTGTCTTTCTAAAATATCAGGTCTGGAAAATCAAACGAAACTTGTTTGTTTATACTTGCACAATAACATAATATCGAAAATAGAAAACATTAATATGTTACTTAAACTCGATACGCTCAACTTGTGTCACAATTTCATAAAAAAACTTGAAAATTTGAGTAAGCACAAGTATATTATTGGGTCATTTTTGTAAAATGAAATAAAATGTTAAATGTTAGGTGCATTACCGATGCTAAGTACTTTACTTATAAGTCACAACAAACTCAGTACTATCGATGATATTTCTCAGCTGGCAGACTGCGATAAGCTGACTGTGCTTGACCTCTCTCACAACAATTTGGATGATCCTGAAATAACCGAGGTAAAGCGAAACTTAAAAACCAAACCAATTGGGTCAATTATAATGCTACGCCTTAAAACTATGTACGGTATGGGTTGGCAGACAACACTACAGACTTACGTTACTTTTACAATACTAGCATAGGTACGTATCAAAATAGCGTTGGCACTAACAGATACCGTATATAGTTATACAAAAACTACCTAATACTACTGATATTACTGGCTGCTTATACATAAGGTATTTCAAAAAATGAAGTCACTTCGCGTGTTATGGCTAACCGGAAATCCTGTAGTTTCAGTACTGAAAAATTACAGAAAAACGTTAATATTGAAATGCGTAAGTGTTATAAAATATACAATTAATCAATCATTAGACGTATTTTTACGGATTGGATATAATTAATTTTAATCTATTAGATTATATTTTATGTTATGTTATATTATAGATTATATGAATAGAATTTTTTAATAAATCCAATTTAGTATTCTGTGGCATTTCTTACTGTAGTTACTGTTTGTCGAATAGGCCGAACTAAGAAATTTGGACAACAGACCGATAACAAGTAGAGATCGTGCGTGTACAGAAGCATGGTAAATCTATATAATCTACAGATCGTCCCAGCATCTTAGGGAAATTTAGATTTTTTAATTAATTTTTTTTAAAACAATTTATTAGTTAATATACTAAACATTTTATATAACTGAAAAGTAAAAAAAATGTACACACGAATTTAATCTAAAAAAATAATAAAGATAGTTATCACTATTTCAATAAAATGTTATTTTGAATGTATGTATCAGCTGATTGATTTTGAGCCCCATTCTCGTCATATCCGTTATTAGCAGACTTCTCCTTATAAATCTTCATGTTTTTTTCAGCTGGTTTATCCTTTTCAATCAACTAAATTTTATGAAATTACGCATTAATCGCGAAAACCAGTTATTAACTAACTTGTACTAGGAATAAGCTCCATATAATGATAAAGCATCAAATATTGATGGGGTTCTTTGTTTTTTTATTTTTTATTTAAATTCTGTTATAAATATTTTTTAAATGAAAGGTACTTTATTGGTCAAAAATGTAAAAAGTTGATATCTTCTCTTAAAAAATTACACCCATAAAGTTTTACATATTTTTATTAATATGCTTTTAACGATATTTGTATTTTTACCATCTACAGATTCGCATCTAAGCTTTTATTTGATAGTGATTTTATCACTTTCAGTTATAATAATTCCTATAGACCTGTGATGCACTGTGATACCCTAATAAAATTATAATTAAACATTTAATACGTTTGCTATAGGATGACGGGTGGCGTTGAAGCTGAACAAGCAGTGAGAATACGTTTAATAAACGAAGAACGTCAAAAGATGACAGATTCCGTCAATATTTTGTTAAAATTACGCAATGACGGTATAACTAAACAATTAGAAAGTCAACTGGCGTCAAACTTAAATAATCGTTTCGACATCGAAACTACTGCACAGAAAATCGAGAAACCCAAATTCGTCGCTTCTGTTGATAAATACTTTACTGAACCAAATGATACCGATTTGGTTGCAGAGGTTTTAACATCTGATAATAACAATAGCGAAACTGAAAGTGAAGCCGTTGACGACTTATGTTGTCACAGCATGGAGACTCCTAATGTTCCTACGACAGATTTACCTATTTCCACTTGTGATACAAGCGAAATTACATTCCATAGCGAGGGAAATTACGCGGTGTTGAACAACGACGAACAACCAAAAATGAATCATCTAAAGCAGTGTAGCAGTGTCAATTTAGAATACGATATTAATGCAAGCGGGGATGATCGTTTTATGGAAGTTGGGAATATCGATACAGAATTTGCTAATTTCGGAAATATTATTGATTCCGATAATAACGCGATGGGCGATGATTGCAAACCTCAAACAGCTGAGTTCGATGTCTCCGAAAATTTGTCTTGTGAAAGACATGAAGAGCATGATTCAGTCAAAGATATTGTCGTCTACTATGATTTAGAAGAAGATAACGACGAAGTTGATATTTTGGTCGAAAGTACCCACCTAAGTTCGAGCGACGATGATATATTTTTCGATGTTGATCTTAGTCTGTCGTCCGGTATATCACAAGACCATAATGAGCGTTGGAATTGCGAAAAAAATGATACTCTCGGAGAATCTACTTTACCTTGTCACATTGAAGAATATTTTGGAATGGGAACATGTTCCAAAGATAATTTCGATTCTTCGACGAATATAATTCCTGACATTTACGAAAACGGCGTTAAAACTATTTATGAACAAGACACTAGAATAGACGTAAAGTGTGAATCCGTTCCACAAAATGAAAACGTCGAACATCAATCTGAAACCGAAGTATCTGCTTCAAGTTTAAACATCAGTTTTGTGAATGAGCTATCAACGGATGAAATTAAAACCTCCGAGAAACCGTCTTCTGAGAAGAAAACTACTCTAAATTGCATAATCCTATAGAAATCTATCAAAATGTATGATTTTTGTTATTCTGACAATATTTTATAATAAAATAAGAATTAATTATACAGAAATATTAAGTTGTATTTTGTAATTTGTCTAACAAACATTAACTGTATTTTCACCTCTTATATTTTCAGAGTACTGAAATAGTACTTAGTATGTATACTACTATTGAAAAATAGTTGGTGCTAAATTTTTTTTTTCATTCTATGCCCAAATTTATTTCTATTATTTTAATTAGAGTATATCTACACTCGTACAAAGGACTTAGCATGTAAAACTATTAGTCACTAAATGTTTTCAGTAAATAGTAAAAAAATGTTAATTAGTCAAAGATTTTTAACTTAAATAAACATTGTTACCTTATAAACTACAAAATACGTAAACGTGCATAATAGAGTTAACATAGTTCACTCAGTTAATACAGTTAACTGTATTTATACAATAAACATAATTGAGGTTATTATAAAAATATGTACTTACCTAAGTATAATTTATTATTTAGAGTTACTCAATGTCAGTGGCGGTTTTAGCATATATTTTTACATGAGGCGAAAAAATATTAAATACACTAGTATACTGAAGTCTTTAAACTTTATGGGCAATAGTGGAAAGATTAACCAGCTATGATTCGATCACCGCTGTTGCCTAGAGTGTACCACGTAGAGGTTCTTTCCATACACTCCTCCCCCAACCTTTATACATATATTTACACACATAATAATTTTATACATAAAACCTAATAAAAAAAAACCCAGCAGTACCCGTAAAACGAAAAAAAAACCTTTTGTAACAAAATCTATAAATTGTATTTACAACGTAAAAGATATAACGTGTTATTTTAACATATTATATAATATGTTTTATGATTTATACTCTAAGTCTATATTTCTATTTTTTTTACTGGAATAAATATTTACAATATCACCATAAAATGCTCCAGTATTTTTAAGCTGCTCAATCAGCTCTTTTTCAATTGAAATTGGAGCAAGAGAACTCAATCTATGTTGAGAAATACTATTGCGTAAATATGTCTTAACACGTTTAAGACAAGAGAAACTCCTTTCCACTGATACCCTAGTTGATGGTATAGTTAATATTAAAGATAAAAGTTAATACACTTCAGGTAAAATTACTTTTAATCCACCACACTCAAATATTTTTACTAAATCATATACATGATGTAAATTTTGATATTTTTCATTACTGTATAGTACTTCTAACTCTACTTTCAATTTTTTTCTATCAAAAAATATTTCGGAATAAGATTGTCCCAGATTTTCAAATGCATTTTCAGGGAAAATTTTAGAATAGCATTTAAATTTCGTAACATCAGCAACTTGTAAAAATATGAGTTTGTTAGTATTTTGAAATCGTGTACTTATTTGAAGTAGAATATTGTCAAGTATTTCAAAATATATAAGTTGACTTAGGCCGTTTTGTTAAGAGGACGCCACACCAAAAGTGGAACGCATGCAACGACCGATAGAACGCGCTGTTAGGTGTTTTCGCAAGGCGCAGGCACGCGTTAAGCCACACCCACTACCTCACGGTCGCCGCAACCAGTCCGCGTTGTGTTCACGCGGGACCGCGCATTATTACATCATAAACTGTTATCTTGTATACTTCGCGTCAACATACAATTTCGTACGCATTTTTGCTGCAGCAGCATTTGTAATATCCGTACGTACTCGCAAACTAATTACTTATTAGAACTACTGTAAATGTAAATTTAAATATTACATTTTATAAATAAATATATTTTGTTTTCTACATTAACCTAACAAGTCTACGACCTCTTAGGTCGGTTGGACAACTTTTGCTCTACTAGAGACAAGAGTTGGCATCCTGGGGAAGTGGTTATAGTGCGGCGGCTTTCCGTTGCCTTCCGCGCCAGTCAGGTGGCCATTTCTCTCTCCAGACGGTTGCCCGCCCAGCTAGAGAAACGGCCAGCGACCGAGATTCGAACCACGGCTAGTGCGTAGAGACACTGCTGCGATAACCCTCTCGGCCACGACGCCCGATTCAACATTATACTTTGAATAATGTTCAACACATATTTTATAGCTATTACTTTCCAAGTTATAAATCAAATATTCTGAATAAACTTCAATGCTATATCTGTTTTACTCAAAGCAATAGTTTTTAAAAAACAAGTAAAATATATTACTTTTAAGTTGAAGGTACGATTTTGGAACAAATACGTTCCATTGAATGAATAATGATCAATTAGATATTATATCCAAGACCTGACACGGCCAGCAAGTGCACGTTATATTCTTATAGCGATTAATGTGCGGCCGGTCGCGTTATCAACTGTCCACCGTCTCACTTGTGGGAACAAAAAACCACTATAATTGGTATATCGACTTGATACTTCGCACCGCGAAACACGGCGGCGATGACAATAATAATTGTTGGATAATCTCATAATCAGTATTCAGTTAGTCTATAAGTTACAATTGACCGATTATCTTATCCGTTGCCGTTCCGCGCTAAAATATAAGACATCATCTTATTTATATAATTACCAATTTTTTTTTAAATAACAAAAAGTTGTATTTTTATATGAAAAAAATAATTTTTTATCAACTAGACGTCATTTAGTGTTAATTTCGTCTATACTCGCCGTCACAGACCTATACTAAGATATATATATTATTGTACTTAATATTATAATCTAAACAAATTATAAAAAATCATAAACTATAAAAACTAAAAATCATGTTATGGTAACAAATGTCATAAATTATAATAGGTAACTACTTACTATACCACTTTACATAACTTTACTATTAATACTACTTTTTCTAGTGATTTCTTAGTTTGGCTTCCTGAATATGTAAAGGTTCTCTGATGTCTGGTAATTCAAGGCGTTTGCCATAAAGTGGACAAACAATCTCAGGTAACAAGCACTCTAAATAAAATCTGAACAGTTATTGATATTATTGGTATTTAATACTATTATTGAAATTCATATCATTATTAAAAATAATAACTTAAATAAATACATACATTTTAAGTTTTTCCTCCATTTTTGTTTTCCAAAACGAATCATCATATTTTATTTTTTGTATATGTGTCCAATTAGGAGTATAAACAACAAAATAACATAATGTGCGGTTAGCTATACGTAATTGGCCCATAATTTGGTAATAGTACTTATGGTTTTTTTTAAGTTCTATTATATTATTTTTGATACTGCAGTACTGTAACTAAATATACGATACTTAATTATTAATTTATCATTACTAAGGTGAGATTATTTTTACTAGATTGTTTTCCACAGCTTTGGCCGCATTACTAGTATTTCGAGCTACAAAAGGGCATTTCATTTCAACTATGGCATCATTTCCAATAAGACCATCTTAAAAACATAGTTTATAATTATAGTTAATAATGAGTAATATATCTAAGACTATGGCATACCGTTTACCGAGTAATTGGTTAACTAAAAGTTAATATTATGGATAATTTAAGAATCTGATATCTTCTGAGAAGTGAGACAATTGACTGGGCTATTGTTAACCAATTTCCTTGTACAAAAAATAAGTTTAAAAAAATGTAAAGTTACCAGGACTTGCGGCGAGAAAAGGAAATTCATTGTCAGAAAACATTCCACATGGTTTTTCAAATTTAGTTTTTGCCAAAGACTCCAATTCCAAACCATATGTCATTTCTTTAGTTGTAATATTAGGCCTATAAAGTAAACTGAATACTTTTTTTCGACAACTAGTATTCACTCGTATTTTACAAATGTCGCCGAAATTTGAGGCTGTTAGTCTCTTTTTTCCTTTTACAGTACCAATCTTGACTATGGCTTTGCTCTTTAGTAGCGCGCTCGAGTTCACCTTTATCGACTTCTCTAATTGGTTTAGAAACATTTTTTTTTTTTTGCTTAATTCCTCTTCAGTGGGGAGATCATCTAAAGGCTCTACTAAGCCATAATCTGCATCAGGTCCACTAGATCAAGTTACAGTTGATTTGGTTCGTTTTATACCAGCTTCAAATAATTTTCTCCTTCGCATAACTGTATTTTGCCTCATTCGATCGAGATTTGCTGAATACCGTTTGCCGAATTTCCCTATCATTGTAATATAAATTATTAATAAACATACAATTAAGTTAAATATAAACTATTTCTTTTATATATCAAAATTCTTTCTATTAGGACTGTAAAAAACCGTTTTTTTCTGCACAACTCTTAAAAAGTTTTTAGAATTGAATGCTATCACAGCTGCTTCAACTCTAGTGGCATAATTATTTTTTTGGGTAAAATTTATACGTTTGCCTCCAACATGCTTATTTATCAAGCTATTCAACTGTTCGCACGGATTATTGTCAACGTTTTCAATTAAACTATCAGCGTTTATAGATATTCGCTGTATAATGCTACGAATTTGCCTCATCATTCCTGCATTTTCTGCATCGGGAACTATGTTTATCTCACCGACCTTTGGTCCGGTGCAAAAATATCGAGCACACTTATCGTGTTGACCAAGTCTACGGTATACGCTGTTCGATATATCATTTCTGAGTTCTAAAACATTATAAGATTCGATTTTCAATAAAACACTTTTCTTAGAAATATGCAAATAGTGCCAAACCTTGCTTATTATCGCATTTTTAAATAAAACTTCCATAAAAGAAATATCTAAAAATAAAAATACCTTTGATTTTTTGTTAAAGAGGAAAATTACTATTTAAGTTATAGTCCATCGCTTTTGTTATATCAGAACGAAAGCGTAATATATTGGAAGAGATACACTTCCTTACAACAATGGGGTAATCCGTACGTTTTGTTAGAGCCATCAACTTGGCACAATAGTTTCTTAGTAGATGATTACGACATTCTATACTTTTAATTTTAAAATCACTACCATATGGCAAAACCTCGTTTAACCGTTTTG